CATTTCATCATTTCCTTCACCCACGTGAGAACCGAGAGAGCACAGCCTCCCGACGATTCGCCAGAAAGGGGGTCCCCCTTGCCCCCCCGGGGGCCCTTCTTTCGTCCGTGGTGAGACTACTACGGCACGGCGCTGGCTGGTCGGTCGACAGCCCCGCGGCGAACCGAAGCATCCGCTCGCGATGAAAGGGCAGAAAGCGCGCCGGAAAGGAAAGCTCCTTCGAAGTTTGTGTCGGGCATTGGGTCCCAGTGCACGGCGGGCGGGGGAACGGGGGCGGCGGGGACTATGTCGGAGCGGCCGTTACCACCCGGAGCATTTCGCCCCCCCGTGCGTTCGTGGACGGCACGAACGTACGAATGACTTGCCGGGAAACTCCCGTGTTTGTGTGTAAAAAACAAAAAAAAAAAATTTCTAACTTTTTACGAAACTTAGTGTCATATTCTTAGTTTTTTTCAACGTGACTTTACCGAAAAAAACTAAGAATATGAATTACTGCAGTCACGAAAGCTTTAAATCAAAAACTTAGTGCCGTCGGTAAGGCAACGAGACAGCCCTGTCCATAACTTTAATCGCTCCGACAGCTACAGGCTTAGCGCGGCCCGGAAGCGTATCGTTAGATAATAGACATTACATTTTGATTTAAAGAATTACTAATCTACAACTCGTTACTAATCATAACCAATGACCGATTACTAATCGATTATATAATTACAATAACCCCCCACCCCCCTCCTCCGCCTCTAATCACTGCACCTGATATGAGTTAAGTGATGACGTCACCCTACTGCTCTATATATAAAACCGGGAGCGAGTGGAGAGGGCTTTACCATTCTGGCGAATTGCCCGATGATGCCGGATGTATTTACCAGCGAAACGTCGTACTACTCAAAAACTGTAAATGTTGTGGATTCACTCTTCAACACACCGGTGGGCTAAAGTAGTGAACTATTTGTCTTTTTGATTTAAAGCTTTCGTGACTGCAGTAAATTCATATTCTTAGTTTTTTCGGTAAAGTCACGTTGAAGGGAAACAACAAAATAATAAAATAAATATGGAACAATAAAAAAAGATTCTCACGACGTTTCGACCATAACTCAAACGGTCATCTTCAGGTGTGTTGATTCGCATAAATTTATTTTTAAACGGCGCATTTATTTCTTTATTTATAAAAACGTTAGCGCCACGCGCAACGATTTGACAGTTTATTTAGGACTAGTCCATCTATATTCTGAAAAGAGGAGGGGGGAGACGATTTTTTTTTATAATGTATGCTGTCTGAAAGCCACTGTAAGCGTGAACAATCAATTGAGACCTGAAATGGTTTATCAAATAGATAGAATCTATCTTAGCAATCATTGGAAAGATTTGATAAACCATTTCAGGTCTTAATTGATTGTTCACGCTTACAGTGGCTTTCAGATAGCATACATTATAAAAAATTTCGTCTCCCCCCTCCTCTTTTCAGAATATAGATGGACTAGTCCTAAATAAACTGCGAAATCGTTGCGCGTGGCGCTAACGTTTTTTTATGAATAAATAAATGCGCCGTTTACAAATAAATTTATGCGAACCAACACACCTGAAGATGACCGTTTGAGTTATGGTCGAAACGTCGTGAGAATTTTTTTTATTGTTTTATATATATATTTTATTATTTTGTTGTTTCCCTTCAACGTGGTGACTTTACCGAAAAAACTAAGAATATTTTGTGTCTTTTTGTCAACGTGACACACTTTTTTTTTTTGCCGATTGGCCGTGTCGGGTGGTGGAGGGTTACGACACATTTACAAAATAAACGCCACCTGACCCAATCCCCAAAAAGCCTTTATTACGATGTAATATCGGTCGCGAAAGCCTACGTGTTAAAAAGAGTCTTGTCGCTACGCGGTTTCTCCCACCCCGGGCGGGGGGTGGCGGTGATGGGAACCCCGGGGGTCCCGCCAATTGCTTCAAATCCGGAGCGGCCGGGGCTGGCGGCAGAACCCACCTCGGATAGTGCCACCGTCCCGTGTCCCGACGATCGGCAAGCAACCTTCCGAGTGAAATCATTCACGAGGCGGGTCCTGTACGGGCGGGCAACTAATTCATCACAACAACAACAACCGCAACAACCACAACAACAATCGCCATTCGCCAATAAGTGGCGGTGATGTCACCACGACGCTTGTGCCAGGCCATGTGCACCTTGAAGCCGCCACGTGAAGTGTCGACACTTCACGTAATTCATCACACACACACACACTACTACTACCACTACTACTACACAACTAATTCATCACAACAACCACAACAACAACCGCCATTCGCCACTAAGTGGCGGTGACGTCACCACGACGCTTGTGCCAGGCCATGTGCACCTTGAGGCTATCACGTGAAGTGTCGACACTTCACGTAATTCATCACACACGCACGCACTACCACTACTACTACTACTGCTACTACACAACTAATTCATCACAACCACAACAACCGCCATTCGCCACTAAGTGGCGGTGACGTCACCACGACGCTTGTGCCAGGCCATGTGCACCTTGAGGCCGCCACATGAAGTGTCGACACTTCACGTAATTCATCACACACACACGCGCACACTACCACTACTACACAACTAATTCATCACAACAACAACAACAAGCGCCATTCGCCACTAAGTGGCGGTGACGTCACCACGACGCTTGTGCCAGGCCATGTGCACCTTGAGGCTATCACATGAAGTGTCGACACTTCACGTAATTCATCACACACACACACGCGCACACTCACACACACTACCACCACCACTACGACTACTACACACTCCGCTATCGCACCACTGCATACCAAGCGACGTGCACACCACAAGCACACGGGACAAGTCACCGTCTCACACACACACACACACGAGGGGCCGGGACGAACGAGGCGTTTGTGACTCGGGTTTTTATTCGCGGTGCCCCCGCGGGGGAGGGGGAAAGGACAGACTCGCGGATTTGTTACGGCAATTAAAAGGCGGCCCTTTGGGGAGGCGAGCGTGTGTGTGTGTGTAGCCTGTGTGTAGCCTGCGTGTAGCCTGCGTGTAGCCTGTGTGTAGCCTGTGTGTAGCCTGTGTGTAGCCTGCGTGTAGCCTGTGTGTAGCCTGTGTGTAGCCTGTGTGTAGCCTGTGTGTAGCCTGCGTGTAGCCTGCGTGTAGCCTGCGTGTAGCCTGCGTGTAGCCTGTGTGTGTAGCCTGTGTGTAGCCTGCGTGTAGCCTGCGTGTGTAGCCTGCGTGTGTAGCCTGCGTGTAGCCTGCGTGTAGCCTGCGTGTGTAGCCTGTGTGTAGCCTGCGTGTAGCCTGTGTGTGTAGCCTGCGTGTAGCCTGCGTGTAGCCTGCGTGTAGCCTGCGTGTAGCCTGTGTGTGTAGCCTGTGTGTGTAGCCTGTGTGTAGCCTGTGTGTAGCCTGTGTGTAGCCTGTGTGTAGCCTGTGTGTGTAGCCTGTGTGTAGCCTGCGTGTAGCCTGCGTGTAGCCTGCGTGTAGCCTGTGTGTAGCCTGTGTGTAGCCTGCGTGTAGCCTGTGTGTAGCCTGTGTGTAGCCTGTGTGTAGCCTGTGTGTAGCCTGTGTGTAGCCTGCGTGTAGCCTGTGTGTGTAGCCTGTGTGTAGCCTGTGTGTAGCCTGTGTGTAGCCTGCGTGTAGCCTGTGTGTGTAGCCTGTGTGTAGCCTGCGTGTAGCCTGCGTGTAGCCTGCGTGTAGCCTGCGTGTAGCCTGTGTGTAGCCTGTGTGTAGCCTGCGTGTAGCCTGCGTGTAGCCTGCGTGTAGCCTGCGTGTAGCCTGCGTGTAGCCTGTGTGTGTAGCCTGTGTGTAGCCTGTGTGTAGCCTGTGTGTAGCCTGTGTGTAGCCTGTGTGTAGCCTGCGTGTAGCCTGCGTGTAGCCTGTGTGTAGCCTGTGTGTAGCCTGCGTGTAGCCTGCGTGTAGCCTGCGTGTAGCCTGCGTGTAGCCTGTGTGTAGCCTGTGTGTAGCCTGCGTGTAGCCTGTGTGTGTAGCCTGTGTGTAGCCTGTGTGTAGCCTGTGTGTAGCCTGTGTGTAGCCTGTGTGTAGCCTGTGTGTAGCCTGTGTGTAGCCTGTGTGTAGCCTGTGTGTAGCCTGCGTGTAGCCTGTGTGTGTAGCCTGCGTGTAGCCTGTGTGTAGCCTGCGTGTAGCCTGCGTGTAGCCTGCGTGTAGCCTGTGTGTAGCCTGTGTGTAGCCTGTGTGTAGCCTGCGTGTAGCCTGCGTGTAGCCTGTGTGTAGCCTGTGTGTAGCCTGTGTGTAGCCTGTGTGTGTAGCCTGTGTGTGTAGCCTGTGTGTAGCCTGTGTGTAGCCTGTGTGTGTAGCCTGTGTGTGTAGCCTGTGTGTAGCCTGTGTGTAGCCTGCGTGTAGCCTGCGTGTAGCCTGTGTGTAGCCTGCGTGTAGCCTGCGTGTAGCCTGCGTGTAGCCTGCGTGTAGCCTGCGTGTGTAGCCTGTGTGTAGCCTGTGTGTAGCCTGTGTGTAGCCTGTGTGTAGCCTGTGTGTGTAGCCTGCGTGTAGCCTGCGTGTAGCCTGTGTGTAGCCTGTGTGTAGCCTGCGTGTAGCCTGTGTGTAGCCTGTGTGTAGCCTGCGTGTAGCCTGTGTGTAGCCTGTGTGTAGCCTGCGTGTAGCCTGTGTGTGTAGCCTGTGTGTAGCCTGTGTGTAGCCTGTGTGTAGCCTGCGTGTAGCCTGCGTGTAGCCTGCGTGTAGCCTGCGTGTAGCCTGTGTGTGTAGCCTGTGTGTAGCCTGCGTGTAGCCTGCGTGTAGCCTGTGTGTAGCCTGTGTGTAGCCTGCGTGTAGCCTGCGTGTAGCCTGTGTGTGTAGCCTGCGTGTAGCCTGTGTGTAGCCTGTGTGTAGCCTGTGTGTAGCCTGTGTGTAGCCTGCGTGTAGCCTGCGTGTGTAGCCTGTGTGTGTAGCCTGTGTGTGTAGCCTGTGTGTAGCCTGTGTGTAGCCTGTGTGTAGCCTGTGTGTGTAGCCTGCGTGTAGCCTGTGTGTAGCCTGCGTGTAGCCTGCGTGTAGCCTGCGTGTCCGTCCGCGCGTTCGATCGATCGTGCCCATGAATCGGTGAACGATTTTTGTACCTCGCCAGGCGTGGCAAGGCCGCGACTGCTCTTTCGGAAAGCGAAATCAAACCGAGGGCTTTACCGCCCTTGGACGTGCGGTAAAAAATAATTTTTTTTTTTTTAAATCTTCAGTTGACTTGCGATAGAGGCCAAGTCTGCTTCCGAAAGAAGAGCTCCGGAGAAGCGGTCGGCGTATGGAGGACCCTTGGACGCGTGGTGATGTTAAAAAAAATAAAAAATAAAAATTAATTTGCCTTTAAAGTTTAGTTTAGTTTAGGGCTCCTGGAACATTATACATTCAGGACGGACGAGCGAGCCCGGGGGGCCTTAGGTGGGTGTCGAGCAAATGCCAGCGGCACAGCGATTGGGGGTCACCCAAGTGTATGTGGGGGGCGGAGGGCGGAGGGGGGCGGAGGGGGTAACCCAACGAAAAGAAACCCAAGAAAATCCTCTAAGATCACGGAGGCGCCCGCAAAGGTTTCACGGAGACAAATCCGCACGCCACCAACGTTTCTGCCCGCACGCACACACACACGCACACACACACACGCACACGCCTTAGGAGCCCGGAGGAGCAGCAGAATCGGCACAAAGAGGGCACGGCGGCAAGGGACGCCTCTCTAGTGGTGGCTGTCGTGGTCTTTCTCCTCGTAGCCGGTGGGAAGGGCGTTGACGTGGGAGTTGTGGAAGAGGCTGTGGTTCCCGTCGCCCCAGGGGAAGCGCTGGTGACACGGCGGCAGAGAGAGAAGGAGAGGGAGGGAGAGAGAGAGAGGGAGAGAGGGAGAGAGGGAGAGAGAGAGGGAGAGAGAGAGAGAGGGAGAGAGAGAGACAGAGGTCAGGACGGGACATCCGGAAATCGTTGGGACCGCGGGAAGAATCCGACGGAGCTGCGAGGGCTCTTGATTTTTTATCGTGACAAAAATAAAAAAAGACAAACGCGAACGAAACGAAGCCATCTTATTTTGGCTTCAACGCACGTGGGTAGGCTTTCGCGACCAACATTATTCACGGCAAAAGGTTTTTCTTGGGTCAGATCGCGTCCATTTATGAACGCGTCGTGTAACCCCCTCCCACCACCACCCGACGCGGCCCCTCGGCAAAATAAAGTGTCACGTTGACAAAAGGCACAAAATGGTTCGCTGCTTTAGCCCACCGGCGTGCTGAAGAGTGAATCGACAGCGTTAACAGCTTTGAGCAGCGCGACGTTTCGCTGCTAATTGCCATCCAGCATCAATCGGCCAATTCGCCAGAATCGCCCGATTGATGCTGTCGTACCTCAAACTGTGAACGCTGTGGATTCACTCTTCCAGCACGCCGGTGGGCTAAAGCAGTGAACCATTTTGCGCCTTTTGTCAACGTGGCACTTTATTTTGCCGATTGGACGCGTCGGGTGGTGGGAGGGTTACACGACACATTTATAAAATAAACGCGATCTGATCGTGAAACCGTTTTGATTTCACCGCAGCATCGCGCGCGTGCACGCGCTACCAGGGCGCCCCGGCTTCCGCGGCCGTCTGGAACGCGCTCTCTTCCGTTAGAAATGAGGAAGCCACCACAGCTAGACACTTTGCATCGAGCGATCGGAAGTTAATTGCTTTTAGAGCCGCCGCCGCTTGTTGTTGTTGTTGTTGTTCTTGTTGTTGTTTGTTGTCGCTGTTGCCAGCGTCAAAAGCATGAAAAGATAACGATAGGTTTTTCACCCTTGATTTAAAGCTTTCGCGTGACTGCAGTAATTCACACTCCCTAGTGTTTTTTTTCGGTAAAGTCACCAACGTTGAAGGGAAACAACAAAATAATAAAAAAATATATATATAAAACAATAAAATCCTCACGACGTTTCGACCACAGCTCAAACGGTCGTCTGAGTCATGGTCGAAACGTCGTGAGAATTTATTGTTTTATTGTCTTTTATATATATATATTTTTATTATTTTGTTGTTTCCCTTCAACGTGGTGACTTTACCGAAAAAAAAAACTAGGAGTGTGTAGGTTTCACCCTCTCCGGCAACTGAAACGGGCGTTGGGGTACACGCGCGTGTCCGTAGCGGCGGCTGCCCAGGACGATTCCCGCTCACGGGCCAACGCCGCTGGGCAACTGTCCGATCCGGTCCTGGGCCTCCCCTAGGTCGACTCGGCCACAAAAAAAACAAAACTAGTACCTGGTGCGGTGTCAAGTGCGCGTGTTAGGGTGTGCGTGTGTGTGTGTTTGTGTGTGTGTGTTTGTGTGTGTTTGTGAGTGTGTGTGTTTGTGAGTGTGTGTGTGTGAGTGTGTGTTTGTGAGCGCGTTTGGGTGCGGGTGTGCGTGTGTTTGTGTGTGTGTGAGTGTTTGTGAGTGTGTGTGTTTGTGGGGAGCGGTAGTGTAGCGGTTAGCGCTACGCTGCACTATGAACCTGGCGACCCGGGTTCGATTCCCGCTCACGGCCAACACCAGTGACGATTATCTGAACCGGTCCTGGGCCTCCCCTAGGTCGACTCAGCCTCAAATGAGTACCTGGTGCGGTGTGTAGTAAACATTGCCACTAGGGAGACAAAGGCGGTCGGGCGTGGTGCTGGCCACCCCACCCCCTCGTGTACCGTTCCGGCCTTCATAGGTGCTCGCTAACAGCACTTGCCCCTACAGTCTGTTAAGGCTATATGGGGGATCTTTGTCTTTTGTGTGTTTGTGAGCGCGTTTGGGTGCGGGTGTGCGTGTGTTTGTGAGTGTGTGTGTGTGTGAGTGTTTGTGAGTGTGTGTGCGTGTGTTTGTGTGTGTGTGAGTGTTTGTGAGTGTGTGTGTGAGTGTTTGTGAGCGCGTTTGGGTGCGGGTGTGCGTGTGTTTGTGAGTGTTTGTGTGTGAGTGTTTGTGTGTGTGTGTGAGTGTTTGAGTGTTTGTGAGTGTGTGTGTGTATGTTTGTGAGCGCGTTTGGGTGCGGGTGTGCGTGTTTGTGAGTGTGTGAGTGTTTGTGAGTGTTTGTGTGTGTGTGTGTGAGTGTTTGTGAGTGAGTGTGTGTGAGTGTTTGCGCGCGTGTGTGTGAGTGTTTGTGAGCGCGTTTGGGTGCGGGTGTGCGTGTGTTTGTGAGTGTGTGTGTGTGAGTGTTTGTGAGTGTGTGTGTGAGTGTTTGTGAGCGCGTTTGGGTGCGGGTGTGCGTGTGTTTGTGAGTGTGTGTGTGTGAGTGTTTGCGCGCGTGTGTGTGTGTGTTTGTGAGCGCGTTTGGGTGCGGGTGTGCGTGTGTTTGTGAGTGTGTGTGTGAGTGTTTGCGAGTGTGTGTGTGAGTGTTTGTGAGCGCGTTTGGGTGCGGGTGTGCGTGTGTTTGTGTGTGTTTGTGTGAGTGTTTGTGAGTGTGTGTGTGTGAGTGTGTGTGTGAGTGTTTGTGAGCGCGTTTGGGTGCGGGTGTGCGTGTGTTTGTGAGTGTGTGCGTGAGTGTTTGTGAGTGTGTGTGTGTGTGTTTGTGAGCGCGTTTGGGTGCGGGTGTGCGTGTGTTTGTGAGTGTGTGTGTATGAGTGTTTGTGAGTGTGTGTGTGTGTGTTTGTGAGCGCGTTTGGGTGCGTGTGTTTGTGTGTGTGTGAGTGTTTGTGAGTGTGTGTGTTTGTGAGCGCGTTTGGGTGCGGGTGTGCGTGTGTTTGTGTGTGTGTGTGTGAGTGTTTGTGAGTGAGTGTGTGTGAGTGTTTGTGAGTGTGTGTGTGTGAGTGTTTGTGAGCGCGTTTGGGTGCGGGTGTGCGTGTTTGTGAGTGTGTGAGTGTTTGCGCGCGTGTGTGTGTGTGTTTGTGAGCGCGTTTGGGTGCGGGTGTGTGCGTGAGTGTGTGTGAGTGTGTTTGCACACGCGTTTGGGCGCGAGGGTGCATGCTAGCGTGCTTGCGAGTGCTCGGGCGCGTATGCGTGTATCGGGGTGCGCCCGCCCGCCCGCCCTCCCGCCCGCCCGTGTCCGCCGGCCCACCTTGGTACGCAGGCGCAGGTGGTCGTAGGGGACGAACTCGGCCCGCTCGTGCTCGTGCTGGCTCGAGAGGTACGAGTTGAGCATGCAGACGGCGACGCCGGGCAGGGCCACGGTGTAGGTGAGGATCTTCCACATGCGAGAGCCTTGGCGCGGCACGGACACGCGGGGTGAAGGAGGAGGGGGTAAGGACACGAGTGTTGATGTTGTTGTACGCTCGAAATGATTTTGGTTTTGGCACCACCGCGCGCTTTGCCAACAACCGCTGCCATTCTGGAGGTGCGGGGCGGGAAGGACAACTAAAAAATTAAAACGCAGAAAAGCAGCGCTCGAGAAATTCGTTTTCAATGTAAAATCTATGCCGGTCTTTTGGGGTTCTCTGTGCGGTGAGTCTGTGGGGTTCTCTGTGTGGTGAGTCTGTGGGTCTCTGTGTGGTGAGTCTGTGGGTCTCTGCGTGGTGAGTCTATGGGTCTGTGTGGTGAGTCTATGGGTCTATGCGTGGTGAGTCTGTGGGGTCTGTGTGGTGAGTCTGTGGGGTCTCTGTGTGGTGAGTCTATGGGGTCTGTGTGGTGAGTCTATGGGTTCTCTGTGTGGTGAGTCTGTGGGTCTCTGTGCGGTGAGTCTATGGGTCTCTGTGTGGTGAGTTTGTGGGTCTCTGTGCGGTGAGTCTGTGGGTCTCTGTGCGGCGAGTCTGTGGAGTCTCTGTGTGGTGAGTCTATGGGTCTCTGCATGGTGAGTCTATGGGTCTCTGCATGGTGAGTCTATGGGTCTATGCGTGGTGAGTCTATGGGGTCTGTGTGGTGAGTCTATGGGTTCTCTGTGTGGTGAGTCTGTGGGTCTCTGTGTGGTGAGTCTATGGGTCTCTGCGTGGCGAGTCTATGGGTCTCTTTTAATGAGTCTATAGGGTCTGTGTGGTGAGTCTATGGGGTCTCTGTGTGGTGAGTCTACAGGTCTCCATGTGGTGAGTCTATGGGTCTCTGTGTGGTGAGTCTGTGGGTCTCTGTGTGGTGAATCTATGGGTCTCTGCATGGTGAGTCTATGGGTCTCTGCATGGTGAGTCTATGGGTCTATGCGTGGTGAGTCTATGGGGTCTGTGTGGTGAGTCTATGGGTTCTCTGTGTGGTGAGTCTGTGGGTCTCTGTGTGGTGAGTCTATGGGTCTCTGCGTGGCGAGTCTATGGGTCTCTTTTAATGAGTCTATAGGGTCTGTGTGGTGAGTCTATGGGGTCTCTGTGTGGTGAGTCTACAGGTCTCCATGTGGTGAGTCTATGGGTCTCTGTGTGGTGAGTCTGTGGGTCTCTGTGTGGTGAATCTATGGGTCTCTGCATGGTGAGTCTATGGGTCTCTGCATGGTGAGTCTATGGGTCTATGCGTGGTGAGTCTATGGGGTCTGTGTGGTGAGTCTATGGGTTCTCTGTGTGGTGAGTCTGTGGGTCTCTGTGTGGTGAGTCTATGGGTCTCTGCGTGGCGAGTCTATGGGTCTCTTTTAATGAGTCTATAGGGTCTGTGTGGTGAGTCTATGGGGTCTCTGTGTGGTGAGTCTACAGGTCTCCATGTGGTGAGTCTATGGGTCTCTGTGTGGTGAGTCTGTGGGTCTCTGTGTGGTGAATCTATGGGTCTGTGCGTGATTAATCTATGGGTCTATTTTAATGAGTCTATGGGGTCTCTGTGTGGTGAATCTATGGGTCTGTGTGGTGAGTCTATGGGGTCTCTGTGTGGTGAGTCTATGGGTCTCTGTGTGGTGAGTCTATGAGTCTCTGCATGGTGAGTCTATGGGTCTCTGCATGGTGAGTCTATGGGTCTCTGCATGGTGAGTCTATGGGTCTCTGCATGGTGAGTCTATGGGTCTCTGCATGGTGAGTCTATGGGTCTCTGCATGGTGAGTCTATGGGTCTCTGCATGGTGAGTCTATGGGTCTCTGCATGGTGAGTCTATGGGTCTCTGCGTGGTGAGTCTATGGGTCTCTGCGTGGTGAGTCTATGGGTCTCTGCATGGTGAGTCTATGAGTCTCTGTGTGGTGAGTCTATGGGTCTCTGTGTGGTGAGTCTATGAGTCTCTGCATGGTGAGTCTATGGGTCTCTGCATGGTGAGTCTATGAGTCTGTGTGTTGAGTCTATGGGTCTCTGTGTGGTGAGTATATGGATCTCTGCGTGGTGAGTCTACGGGTCTATGCGTGGTGAGTCTATGGGTCTCTGTGTGGTGAGTCTATGGGTCTCTGTGTGGTGAGTCTATGGGGTCTCTGCGCGGTGATTCAGTGGTGAACAGCACACACCCACCTTGCAATCTGCAGATGGCCCCGGAACGGGAAATGGTTAACTCGCATATACCAGAGCATTAAAAATATACCTAAAACGCGAGCCCATCTATTGCCAGTATCAAAATTATGAAAAAAACAAAATGCTCTACCCCGCCCGGCAATATTACAGGGAGTGCTGAGATGTCTCAACACCCAATAGACACCCCATATTGCGAGGCATCACGTCCCCACAGATGTAACCGCACGATCCATAAGATCCCCTTGGTTTGAACTTCCACGAAGCTCGTGTTCCAACCTCAGCCGCATCTCCACTGCAGCGGATGCCTACACCTGATGATACACACTCGGGGAAAGTTACAAAACTGACCAGTCCAGAATCGACCGCAAATCCGAGAAAAAGGAGACATCACTCCGGCGATGATGATGATGCTGATGATGCTGATGATGATGCTACTACTACTACTCCGCTGCTGCTCCTGCTGACGCGGTGCCTCAGTGGCTTGACCACCTGGACGGTGACATTGGCAGCGGTCGTCTCCGGCATCCACGTCAGCCGTCGTTCACTGGTGCACCAACGCCCGGCGCAGAGACAAGGGGTCACGTAGGAGGCTGTCGCTCTCCGTGTAGAGGCCAGTCGGTTTCAGGGACAACGCATACGACGGCATTACCAGAGGCGCGTTTGTCTTCGTGGTTTTTTTTTTTTTAAACCGCGAGGATGACGTGCGGTTGATGCAGGTGCCCAGCAGACAAGACAAGAGGATGCCTTTGCAATGGGCGCGCGTCCATTTGATGTTTGAACAGCTTAGATGCGCAACTCCTGTTTTCAGTGCCAGACGATACTAGTGGCAAAAAGGCCCCAATAGATATTATTATTATTATCATCTCTCTCTCTCTCTCGCTGTCCGTAATTCTTTACGAAATCGTTAACACATCGGCTGTCGCCACCAGTGTCGTCCATAGTTTAAAGAAAGAAAACAACCCACGGCAAAAATGGGACCTTTTTTTTGCCAGTATCAAAGCATGGAATAGTAATAAGAGCTTCTACCCTTGAGAAAAAAACAGGAGTTGCATTAAGATGTTCACACACAAAATAGAAACCTTTTGCAAAGAATCGTGGATTGCAATAAACAATTCTGACCTTATATTCTTAGTTCTTTCGGTAAAGTCACGTTGAAGGGAAACAACAAAATAATAAAATATATATAAAACAATAAAAAAAATTCTCACGACGTTTCGACCATAACACAAACGGCCGAAACGTCGTGAGAATTTTTATTGTTTTATATATATTTTATTATTTTGTTGTTTCCCTTCAACGTGACTTTACCGAAAGAACTAAGAATATGAATTACTGCAGTCACGAAAGCTTTAAATCAAAATTCTGACCTTATTCGGTCACCCCCGTGCCCCAATAGATATCAGCGTTCATCCAACAAAGTCCCATCACAAGGGAGAAACACAAACAAATAGACACAAACTGGTTTTTTTTTGCCCGTATTGAAACGGCTATACGGCGTATTGCCCTGAAAACTTAATTTCCCCTGGACAAGAACACGGGAAAACCGTATGGGTTCACAGGTACGAGTGTATAGTAGTGTAGTGTATAGTAGTGTACAGTAGTGTATTGTATAGTAGTAGTGTATAGTAGTAGTGTATAGTAGTAGTGTATAGTAGTAGTGTATAGTAGTAGTGTATAGTAGTAGTGTATAGTAGTAGTGTACAGTAGTAGTGTATAGTGTAGTGTATAGTGTGGTGTATAGTGGTGTATAGTGTAGTTTATAGTGTAGTGTATAGTTTAGTGTATAGTGTAGTGTATAGTGTAGTGTGCATATCTGTCAAGCCCTGATCAGTGCCTCCCTCATTACAGACCGATTCAGACCTGATTGGTCACCCCCGTGGCCCTTGTACATCTCAACGTTCATCCTATACACTCCACTATACACTACACTATACACTCCACTATACACTCCACTATACACTCCACTATACACTCCACTATACACTCCACTATACACTCCACTATACACTCCACTATACACTCCACTATACACTCCACTATACACTCCACTATACACTCCACTATACACTCCACTATACACTCCACTATACACTCCACTATACACTGCACTATACACTCCACTATACACTCCACTATACACTACTACACTATACACTACTACACTATACACTCCACTATACACTCCACTATACACTCCACTATACACTCCACTATACACTCCACTATACACTCCACTATACACTCCACTATACACTCCACTATACACTCCACTATACACTCCACTATACACTACACTACTACACTATACACTCCACTATACACTCCACTATACACTACACTATACACTCCACTATACACTCCACTATACACTACACTACACACTACACTACACACTACACTACACACTCCACTATACACTACACTATACACTACACTACTACATATCTGTCAACCCCTTAGCAGTGCCTCCCTTATTACAGACCGATTCAGACCTGATTGGTCACCCCCATGCCCTTCTAACCCTCAAAGTTCATCCTACAAAGTCCCATCACAAGGGATAAACACGAACAAATAGACAAAAACATTTCGATTTAAAGCTGCTGTCCTACCAGACAGTCTCGTCCCCTTCACCCGATGGAAGGCCGCTTGTGCCGTGGCCGAAACGTTGTGAGAACATTATTGTGTTATTTTATTTTATCAATTCATTATTTCATTCTCATTCCACGTAGTGACTTTACCGAAAGAACCAAAGAAGATGAGACCAAAACATATAAACGAACACAAATAGACGGACACAAATAATGTGATGACGTCACCCTGCTGCTGCTCTATATAAAAACCGGGAGCAAGTGAAGAGGGCTTTACCATTCTGGCGAATTGCCCGATGATGCTGGATGTATTTACCAGCGAAACGTCGTACTCAAACTGTAAATGTTGTGGATTAACTGTTCAACACACCGGTGGGCTGAAGTAGTGAATTATTTGTCTTTTGTCAACGTGACACTTTTTTTTGTTGCTGATTGGCCGTGTCGGGTGGTGGAGGGTTATGACACATTTATAAATAAACGCTATCTAACCCAAAAAACCTTTATTATGAAGAACACAAATAACGTTGCCCGTATTGAAACGGCTGCACAACGTGTTGACCTGAAAACTCGCATTGCCCTGTACAAGAATACGGGGTAAAATAAAACCGTATGGGGTTGACAGGTATGGACACTGTGTGTGTGTGGGTTAATGTAAACTCGACGCCTCGTGAAAAGTAATTAAAAAAAACCCGTACAATTAGCGCGAACAGAACGTCGGATAAACGATCAATCTGCAATTAATATCTCCGTAAAATTTCGTCATAGAATTTCTCGAGGCCTAGTCCGTCACACCGAAGCCTCCTCCTGACCTTGCCTCTCACCCCGGGGGTGAAATACGGGGTGAGCGTTATGCGTTGACAAGGTATGATTGTGTAGTAGTGTATAGTGTAGTGTACAGTAGTGTATAGTAGTGTATAGTGTAGTGTATAGTAGTGTATAGTGTAGTAGTGTATAGTATAGTAGTGTATAGTAGTGTAGTGTATAGTAGTGTATAGTATAGTAGTATAGTGTATAGTAGTGTGTAGTGTATAGTGCAGTGTATAGTGTAGTGTGTAGTAGTGTATAGTGTAGTGTATAGTGTCGTAGTGTGTAGTAGTGTATAGTGTAGTGTATAGTGTCGTAGTGTGTAGTAGTGTATAGTGTAGTGCGTATACCTGTCAACCCTTCCTCATCAGTGCCCTGCTTATTCCAGACCAATTCAGACCTCATTGGTCACCCCCGTGCCCTTGTAAATCTCAACCTTCATCCCACAAAGTACCATCACAAGTGAGAAACACAAATAGACGAAAACTAACAACCTGTTGCCCCATTGAAACCCCTGTACGCCTATACAAGAATGCGGGATACACCGTATGGGGTTTGTGGTTAATGTCAACTCGAAGCCTCGCTAAAACGTTAAGAAACGCACCAATTAGCGTGAGCAGACACCTCCAACTCCAGTAGCGTACAGTGTAGTGTACAGGAATCCATACTCTTTGATTATTTCGGCAAAAAATTTTTTGATTTAAAGCTTTCGTGACTGCAGGGATTCATATTCTTGGTTCTTTCGGTAAAGTCACCACCACGTAGAAGGGAAACAATAAAATAATAAAAAAATTCACACCTGATGATGATTGCTGCTTTGTGTCGCAGTCGAAACGTCGTGAGAATTTTATTGTTTTATATTTTTTTATTATTTTATTGTTTCCCTATCTACGTGGTGGTGACTTTACCGAAAGAACCAAGAATATATATTTCGGTAAAGTCACGTAGGCATAAAATAAGTCACGACGTTTCGATCGCAACACCAAAAAAATATTGCTGTGGTTTTCACACCTGACGATGATTGTTGCTTTGTGTTGCAGTCGAAACGTCGTGAGAATTTTATTGTTTTATATATTTTTTTATCATTTTATTGTTTCCCTATCTACGTGGTGGTGCCTTTACCGAAAGAACCAAGAATATATATTTCAGGTAAAGTCACGTAGGCATAAAATAAGTCACGACGTTTCGATCGCAACACCAATAGCGATCGTCCTCAGGCGGAACAAAAAATATAATCCAGCATTGGTTATTCTTGGTTCTTTCGGTAAAGTCACGTTGAAGGGAAACAATAAAATGATATATATTATTAGCTTTAAATCAAAATAAAAAAATATAAATCTAGCATTGGTTCAGAAGTTCCACACCGCTGGATTAATTTCTTTGCGATCGAAACGTCGCCACTTATTTTACGCCTACGTGACTTTACCGAAATTATATATATTCTTTGGTTCTTTCGGTAAAGTCACGTAGAATTGAGAATAAAATAATACATTGATTTAAGATTTAAAAAAACGCAATAAAAATTCTCACGACGTTTCGGCCACACACCACAAGCGGCCTCCGTCAGGTGAAGGGGCGAGAACTGTCTTGTGAGGACGGCGCTGGTGCGAACACAGCCAAGCTCAGACCGCGACCTAATCAAAGAGTATTAAAAGAGTAGTATTATTATTATTTTTTTAAAACTTCCCCGCAAAAAAAAAATTTCGTTGTTGAACTTATCGTGGCCGAGGCCTAGTCCGTCACACCGAAGTCCTCATCCTGACCTTGCCTTACCGCCACCCCACCAAAAGCCCGCGTCCCCGCCGCCAACTCACTCTTGTGTTCCTCGTGCGCCACCGAGGAGTACCGCCTCGCGGACACGCGGGCGAGGCGCCATGCGGACGAGGCGAGAGACAGCGGAGGAGGCATCGCACGCCGAGATACACACAGACACACACAGAGAGAGACGAACGAGAGACGCAAATGGCCGCGTTCCTCAACCTTGAAACAACCGTGACGTCAAAGCGCAACGGGGGGCTCGTGACGTCAACGCGCACGAGGGGGGTGGGTCGGTGACGTCAGCGCGCACGAAGGGGTGTGGGTGGTGAGGGTGGGGGTGACGTCAGCGCGCACGGAGCCTGTTGTTCGATGTTCGCGCGTACGCGAGGGGGAGTGACGTCAGCACGCATGGTGCCGCGTGACGTCAACGAACACGCAAGGGGTAGAGAGGGAGGGAGGGGGATGAGACGTTACCGCGTTGGGCGAATTTAAAGGATGTGACGTCACCGCGTACCGACGTAATATGGAGCGTGACGTCATCGCGTTGGGTGCATGATGAGCGGATGTGACGTCAGCGCGTTCCGTCGTATGTGTGGGGGGGGTTGGGATGCTCAATGTGAGGGACGGCGTGCGCGACGTGCAAGGACGGTGACGTCATCGCGTTGGGTGTACATTGAAAGGATGTGACGTCACCGCGTCGCGACGGACGTTGTGCTGGGGGGGGGTGCCCGATGATTGGAGGACGTGCTTGAAGTGGTGGATGGTGACGTCATCGCGCTGAGTCGATAATGAGGATGTGACGTCACCCCGTCGCGACTTAAGTGGGGGGGATAGAGGGTGAATGCTCAAGGTGAGTGAGGACGTGCGTGACGTGCATGGATTTTGACGTCATCGCGCAAATTAAAAAGACGCTGACGTCACCGCGTCGCGACGTAAGTGGGGGGGATAGAGGGTGAATGCTCAAGGTGAGTGGGGACGTGCGTGACGTGTGTGGATTTTGACGTCATCGCGACATTAAAAAGACGCTGACGTCACCGCGTCGCGACGTAAGTGGGGGAGCCCGAGGCAAGGGAGACTTCGATGGATAGTGACGTCACCGTATCGACTCGCGTTCGCGCCAGTGACATCATCTCCCTTATTCTTGGTTCTTTCGGTAAAGTCACGTAAAAGGGAAACAATAAAATAATAAAAATATTAAACAATAAAAAATATATTATTTTATTGTTTCCCTTCTACGTGACTTTACCGAAAGAACCAAGAATATGAATCCCTGCAGTCACGAAAGCTTTAAATCAAAATCATTTCGCTTGGTTTATTCACAAGGACTCGTACGTCATCGCGTGCGTTGAGAGCGAGGGACGCGGGGTTCGTGACGTCATTGCGCGCGGGCAACTCTGCAAGGCGCGTCGCGCGATTTACGTCAAACGCGTGTCGCCAAAGGAACTGCAAAAAGATCCGGATGACGTCATAGGGCCTGAAGGGTGGGATTCGCAGAGCGGTGACGTCACGGCCGCAGGAGGCTAAAAATAGCCCTGTGACGTCATCGCTTCCTCGATCCGAGAGTCCGCCGCGCCACGTGATTGGGAGCTGCCCCGCCATTCAGAGGCGAAGCGAAGTTGGGGGGGAGGGGGGAGGCGTGCGAGCGAGCGAGTTAATTGGCTCGTTGATTGACGGCTTAATTATTTATTTGTAATTAATGATTGACGTCTGAGCTTGTGTGTGTGTGTGCACGGCTAGGAGCGACAGCCAAGTTCGATTCCACCACCGCGCCCTCTCGCCGACCGGTAGACTACTGGGCCTCCCTCCCCTAAGGTCGACTCAGCCTCGAAATGAGTAACCTGGTGTAGCCGCGTGTACGAAACGTCGCCACTGGCTGGGGGGGGGGGGGGTGAGCTGGGGAGAGACAAAGGCGGGCGGGCGGGCGTGGTTGCCGGCCACGCAACTCCCTCGTGTCTGTGTGTCTGTGTGTCACAGCGGCCGGCCTTCATAGGTGCTCGCTTCCAGCACTTGCCCCTACAGCCCTGCTAGAGGTTACCTGGGGGAGCTTTGTCTGTGCGGGGTGTGTGTAGTACACAGACACTGCTGCTGCTACTCGCTAGCTAACAGCACTTGCCCCTACAGCCCTGCTAGAGGCTACCTGGGGGAGCTTTGCTGTATGTGTGGTGTGTGTAGTACATAGACACTGCTGCTGCTACTCGCTAGCTAACAGCACTTGCCCCTACAGCCCTGCTAGAGGCTACCTGGGGGAGCTTTGTCTGTGTGTAGTGTGTGTAGTACATAGACACTGCTGCTGCTACTCGCTAGCTAACAGCACTTGCCCCTACAGCCCTGCTAGAGGCTACCTGGGGGAGCTTTGTCTGTGTGTAGTGTGTGTAGTACATAGACACTGCTGCTGCTACTCGCTAGCTAACAGCACTTGCCCCTACAGCCCTGCTAGAGGCTACCTGGGGGTAGCTTTGTCTGTGTGTGTGGTGTGTGTAGTACATAGACACTGCTGCTGCTACTCGCTAGCTAACAGCACTTGCCCCTACAGCCCTGCTAGAGGCTACCTGGGGGAGCTTTGTCTGTGTGTGTGGTGTGTGTAGTACATAGACACTGCTGCTGCTACTCGCTAGCTAACAGCACTTGCCCCTACAGCCCTGCTAGAGGCTACCTGGGGGTAGCTTTGTCTGTGTGTGTGGTGTGTGTAGTACATAGACACTGCTGCTGCTACTCGCCAGCTAACAGCACTTGCCCCTACAGCCCTGCTAGAGGCTACCTAGGGGAGCTTTGTGCGTGGTGTGTGTAGTACATAGACACTGCTGCTGCTACTCGCTACTACTAGCAGCACTTGCCCCTACAGCCCTGCTAGAGGCTACCTGGGGGAGCTTTGTCTGTGTGTGTGGTGTGTGTAGTACATAGACATTGCTGCTGCTACTCGCTAGCTAACAGCACTTGCCCCTACAGCCCTGCTAGAGGCTACCTGGGGGAGCTTTGTCTGTATGTGTGGCGTGTGTAGTACATAGACACTGCTGCTGCTACTCGCTAGCTAACAGCACTTGCCCCTACAGCCCTGCTAGAGGCTACCTGGGGGTAGCTTTGTGTGTGTGGTGTGTGCAGTACATAGACACTGCTGCTGCTACTCGCTAGCTAACAGCACTTGCCCCTACAGCCCTGCTAGAGGCTACCTGGGGGAGCTTTGTCTGTGTGCGTGGCGTGTGTAGTACATAGACACTGCTGCTGCTACTCACTAGCTAACAGCACTTGCCCCTACAGCCCTGCTAGAGGCTACCTGGGGGTAGCTTTGTCTGTGTGTGTGGTGTGTGTAGTACATAGACACTGCTGCTGCTACTCGCTAGCTAACAGCACTTGCCCCTACAGCCCTGCTAGAGGCTACCTGGGGTAGCTTTGTCTGTGTGTGGTGTGTGTAGTACATAGACACTGCTGCTACTCGCTAGCTAACAGCACTTGCCCCTACAGCCCTGCTAGAGGCTACCTGGGGGTAGCTTTGTCTGTGTGTGGGGTGTGTAGTACATAGACACTGCTGCTACTCGCTAGCTAACAGCACTTGCCCCTACAGCCCTGCTAGAGGCTACCTGGGGGTAGCTTTGTGTGCGGTGTGTGTAGTGCATAGACACTGCTGCTGCTACTCGCTGGCTAACAGCACTTGCCCCTACAGCACTTGCCCCTACAGCCCTGCTAGATGCTTCCTGGGGTAGCTTTGTCTGTGTGTGGTGTGTGTAGTACATAGGCACTGCTGCTGCTACTCGCTAGCTAACAGCACTTGCCCCTACAGCCCTGCAAGAGGCTACCTGGGGGATATTTGGTGTTGAAGGGCGAGAATTGTCGGGGGAGTCGGCCTTAAATTCATTAAAAAGTGTAGCATCCATATCACGTTGTTGTGTGTGTGTGTAACATCAACACAGGGGAGACAAAGGCGGCCGGGCGTGCTCGTTAGCCACGAAGACAAAATATCCCCCGTGTAGCCTCTAGCAGGCTGCAGAGGCAAGTGCTGTTACACACACACCACACACACAGACAAAGATCCCCCGTGTAGCCTCTAGCAGGCTGTAGAGGCAAGTGCTGTTACACACACACACAGAGAAAGATCCCCCGTGTAGCCTCTAGCAGGCTGTAAAGGCAAGTGCTGTTACACACACACACACCACACAGACAAAGATCCCCCGTGTAGCCTCTAGCAGGCTGTAGAGGCAAGTGCTGTTACACACACACACACTACACACAGATAAAGATCCCCCGTGTAGCCTCTAGCATGCTGTAGAGGCAAGTGCTGTTACACACACACACACACCACACAGACAAAGATCCCCCGTGTAGCCTCTAGCAGGCTGTAGAGGCAAGTGCTGTTACACACACAACACACAGATAAAGATCCCCCGTGTAGTCTCTAGGAGGCCATAGAGGCAAGTGCTGTTACACACACAACAAACACAGACAAAGATCCCCCGTGTAGCCTCTAGCAGGCTGTAGAGGCAAGTGCTGTTACACACACACACACCACACACAGACAAAGATCCCCCGTGTAGCCTCTAGCAGGCTGTAGAGGCAAGTGCTGTTACACACACACACACACCACACAGACAAAGATCCCCCGTGTAGCCTCTAGCAGGCTGTAGAGGCAAGTGCTGTTACACACACACACCACACACAAAGATCCCCCGTGTAGCCTCTAGCAGGCCATAGGGGCAAGTGCTGTTACACACACACACACCACACACAGACAAATATCCCCCGTGTAGCCTCTAGCAGGCCGTAGAGGCAAGTGCTGTTACACACACACATACCACGCACAGACAAAGATCCCCCGTGTAGCCTCTAGCAGGCCATAGAGGGAAGTGCTGTTACACACACACACACCACACACAGACAAAGATCCCCCGTATAGCCTCTAGCAGGCTGTATAAGCAAGTGCTGTTACACACACACACACCACACACAGACAAAGATCCCCCGTGTAGCCTCTAGCAGGCTTTAGAGGCAAGTGCTGTTACACACACACACCACACAGATAAAGATCCCCCGTGTAGCCTCTAGCAGGCCGTAGAGGCAAGTGCTGTTACACACACACAACACACAGATAAAGATCCCCCGTGTAGCCTCTAGCAGGCTGTAGAGGCAAGTGCTGTTACACACACACACACACCACACACAGACAAAGATCCCCCGTGTAGCCTCTAGCAGGCTGTAGAGGCAAGTGCTGTTACACACACACACCACACACAGACAAAGATCCCCCGTGTAGCCTCTAGCAGGCTTTAGAGGCAAGTGCTGTTACACACACACACTACACACAGATAAAGATCCCCCGTGTAGCCTCTAGCAGGCTGTAGAGGCAAGTGCTGTTACACACACACACCACACACAGACAAAGATCCCCCGTGTAGCCTCTAGCAGGCTGTAGAGGCAAGTGCTGTTACACACACACACCACACACAGACAAAGATCCCCCGTGTAGCCTCTAGCAGGCTGTAGAGGCAAGTGCTGTTACACACACACCATACACAGACAAAGATCCCCCGTGTAGCCTCTAGCAGGCTGTAGAGGCAAGTGCTGTCACACACACACCACACAGATAAAGATCCCCCGTGTAGCCTCTAGCAGGCCGTAGAGGCAAGTGCTGTTACACACACACACACTACACACAGATAAAGATCCCCCGTGTAGCCTCTAGCAGGTTGTAGAGGCAAGTGCTGTTACACACACACACCACACAGATAAAGATCCCCCGTGTAGCCTCTAGCAGGCTGTAGAGGCAAGTGCTGTTACACACACACACAGACAAAGATCCCCTGTGTAGCCTCTAGCAGGCTGTAAAGGCAAGTGCTGTTACACACACACCACACAGACAAAGATCCCCCGTGTAGCCTCTAGCAGGCTGTAGAGGCAAGTGCTGTTACACACACACACAGACAAAGATCCCCCGTGTAGCCTCTAGCAGGCTGTAGAGGCAAGTGCTGTTACACACACACACACTACACACAGATAAAGATCCCCCGTGTAGCCTCTAGCAGGCTGTAGAGGCAAGTGCTGTTACACACACACACCACACACAGACAAAGATCCCCCGTGTAGCCTCTAGCAGGCTGTAGAGGCAAGTGCTGTTACACTCACACCACACACAGACAAAGATCCCCCGTGTAGCCTCTAGCAGGCTGTAGAGGCAAGTGCTGTTACACACACACACACCACACACAGACAAAGATCCCCCGTGTAGCCTCTAGCAGGCTGTAGAGGCAAGTGCTGTTACACACACACACACACCACACAGACAAAGATCCCCCGTGTAGCCTCTTGCAGGCTGTAGAGGCAAGTGCTGTTACACACACACACACAACACACAGATAAAGATCCCCCGTGTAGCCTCTAGCAGGTTGTAGAGGCAAGTGCTGTTACACACACCACACAGACAAAGATCCCCCGAGTAGCCTCTAGCAGGCTGTAAAGGCAAGTGCTGTTACACACACAACAAACACAGATAAAGATCCCCCGTGTAGTCTCTAGCAGGCCATAGAGGCAAGTGCTGTTACACACACACACTAACCACACAGACAAAGATCCCCCGTGTAGCCTCTAGCAGGCTGTAGAGGCAAGTGCTGTTACACTCACACCATACACAGACAAAGATCCCCCGTGTAGCCTCTAGCAGGCTGTAGAGGCAAGTGCTGTTACACACACAACAAACACAGACAAAGATCCCCCGTGTAGCCTCTTGCAGGCTGTAGAGGCAAGTGCTGTTACACACACAACACACAGATAAAGATCCCCCGTGTAGCCTCTAGCAGGTTGTAGAGGCAAGTGCTGTTACACACACACACACCACACACAGAGCAGGAGTTCGTGGGTTCGATCCCAACTCTGACGTTGCCTGCTGCTGCTGTATATTTGGAGTCTGTGTTTATCTCTTTGGCCCCGTGGAGATGTCAACTACCTCGCCAGGTATGCAGGAGGTCGTGGGTTCGATCCCAACCCTGACGATGCCATCTGCTGTATATTTGAAAGTCTGTGTTTATCTCTCTCCCTCCACGTTTAGAATCAACATCACCACGCGTTTCGAGTTATTTGGCTGCTGCTATCAATTTCCACGTGATGATATCAGCCACGTGATTGAGCTGCTGTAATTTTTTCATAGCCTGGTCAAATACACAGTTTCGTTTTGGTATTCATAGGTAACTCTAATTGGTTCTAACCGGAGCTTTGTGAATCTTAAATCCGTGCAGGAAGCGGGAGTGGGCCATCCATAGTGAGACGGAATGCCGTTGAAAGTTTTCTTCTGGACTCCGAACATTGTAGGTGAGACTCCTCGCATTCCCAACATTAAACGAGGATCGTGACAAGGTTCCGGATCGTAAGACACTTGTGGGTGCGTCCTATAATCCGGTATGTGAGTGGGTGGGTGAGTGAGTGGGTGGGTTAGTGGGTAAGTCAGTGAATGAGTGGGTGGGTGGTTGAGCGGGTGGGTGAGTGGTTGAATGAGTGGGTTAGTGGGTAAGCCGGTGAGTGAGTGATTGGGTAAGCCTGTGGGGGGATGAGTGGTTGAGTGAGTGAGTGGGTGGTGAGTGGGTGGGTGGGTGGTGAGTGGGTGGATACGTAGGTGAATTTATGGGTGGAAAGGTGGGTGGATGAGTGAGTGGGTGGGTTCGTGGGTAAGTCAGTGAATGAGTGGTTGAGTGGGTGGGTGAGTGGTTGAATGAGTGGGTTGCTGGGTAAGCCAGTGAGTGAGTGATTGGGTAAGCCTGTGGGTGGATGAGTGGTTGAGTGAGTGAGTGGGTGGTGAGTGGGTGGGTGGGTGGTGAGTGGGTGGATACGTAGGTGAATTTATGGGTGGAAAGGTGGGTGGATGAGTGAGTGGGTGGGTTCGTGGGTAAGTCAGTGAATGAGTGGGTGAGTGGTTGAGCGGGTGGGTGAGTGGTTGAATGAGTGGGTTGCTGGGTAAGCCAGTGAGTGAGTGATTGGGTAAGCCTGTGGGTGGATGAGTGGTTGAGTGAGTGAGTGGGTGGTGAGTGGGTGGGTGGTTGAGTGGGTGGATAGGTGGGTGGATGAGTGAGTGGGTGGGTTCGTGGGTAAGTCAGTGAATGAGTGGGTGAGTGGTTGAGCGGGTGGGTGAGTGGTTGAATGAGTGGGTTAGTGGGTAAGCCGGTGAGTGAGTGATTGGGTAAGCCTGTGGGTGGATGAGTGAGTGAGTGGTGGGTGGGTGGGTGGGTGGTTGAGTGGGTGGATATGTGGGTGGATAGGTGGGTGGATGAGTGAGTGGGTGGGTTCGTGGGTAAGTCAGTGAATGAGTGGGTGGGTGGTTGAGCGGGTGGGTGAGTGGTTGAATGAGTGGGTTAGTGAGTAAGCCAGTGAGTGAGTGATTGGGTATTGCTGTGGGTAGATGAGTGGTTGAGTGAGTGGGTGGGTGATGAGTAGGTGGGTGGGTGGTGAATAGGTGGGTGGTTGAGTTGGTGAGTGGGTGGGTGAGTGGGTGAATGGGTGGGTGAATGGATGGGTGGATATGTGGGTGGATAGGTGGGTGGATATGTGGGTGGATAGGTGGGTGGATGAGTGAGTGGGTGGGTTAGTGGGTAAGTCAGTGAATGAGTGGGTGAGTGGTTGAGGGGGTGGGTGAGTGGTTGAATGAGTGGGTTAGTGGGTAAGCCGGTGAGTGAGTGATTGGGTAAGCCTGTGGGGGGATGAGTGGTTGAGTGAGTGAGTGGGTGGTGAGTGGGTGGGTGGTTGAGTGGGTGGATAGGTGGGTGGATGAGTGAGTGGGTGGGTTCGTGGGTAAGTCAGTGAATGAGTGGGTGAGTGGTTGAGCGGGTGGGTGAGTGGTTGAATGAGTGGGTTAGTGAGTAAGCCAGTGAGTGAGTGATTGGGTATTGCTGTGGGTAGATGAGTGGTTGAGTGAGTGGGTGGGTGATGAGTAGGTGGGTGGGTGGTGAATAGGTGGGTGGTTGAGTTGGTGAGTGGGTGGGTGAGTGGGTGAATGGGTGGGTGAATGGATGGGTGGATATGTGGGTGGATTGGTGGGTGGATATGTGGGTGGATAGGTGGGTGGATGAGTGAGTGGGTGGGTTAGTGGGTAAGTCAGTGAATGAGTGGGTGAGTGGTTGAGGGGGTGGGTGAGTGGTTGAATGAGTGGGTTAGTGGGTAAGCCGGTGAGTGAGTGATTGGGTAAGCCTGTGGGTGGATGAGTGAGTGAGTGGTGGGTGGGTGGGTGGTTGAGTGGGTGGATATGTGGGTGGATAGGTGGGTGGATGAGTGAGTGGGTGGGTTCGTGGGTAAGTCAGTGAATGAGTGGGTGGGTGGTTGAGCGGGTGGGTGAGTGGTTGAATGAGTGGGTTAGTGAGTAAGCCAGTGAGTGAGTGATTGGGTATTGCTGTGGGTAGATGAGTGGTTGAGTGAGTGGGTGGGTGATGAGTAGGTGGGTGGGTGGTGAATAGGTGGGTGGTTGAGTTGGTGAGTGGGTGGGTGAGTGGGTGAATGGGTGGGTGAATGGATGGGTGGATATGTGGGTGGATAGGTGGGTGGATATGTGGGTGGATAGGTGGGTGGATGAGTGAGTGGGTGGGTTAGTGGGTAAGTCAGTGAATGAGTGGGTGAGTGGTTGAGGGGGTGGGTGAGTGGTTGAATGAGTGGGTTAGTGGGTAAGCCGGTGAGTGAGTGATTGGGTAAGCCTGTGGGTGGATGAGTGAGTGAGTGGTGGGTGGGTGGGTGGTTGAGTGGGTGGATATGTGGGTGGATAGGTGGGTGGATGAGTGAGTGGGTGGGTTCGTGGGTAAGTCAGTGAATGAGTGGGTGAGTGGTTGAGCGGGTGGGTGAGTGGTTGAATGAGTGGGTTAGTGAGTAAGCCAGTGAGTGAGTGATTGGGTATTGCTGTGGGTAGATGAGTGGTTGAGTGAGTGGGTGGGTGATGAGTAGGTGGGTGGGTGGTGAATAGGTGGGTGGTTGAGTTGGTGAGTGGGTGGGTGAGTGGGTGAATGGGTGGGTGAATGGATGGGTGGATATGTGGGTGGATAGGTGGGTGGATATGTGGGTGGATAGGTGGGTGGATGAGTGAGTGGGTGGGTTCGTGGGTAAGTCAGTGAATGAGTGGGTGAGTGGTTGAGGGGGTGGGTGAGTGGTTGAATGAGTGGGTTAGTGGGTAAGCCGGTGAGTGAGTGATTGGGTAAGCCTGTGGGTGGATGAGTGAGTGAGTGGTGGGTGGGTGGGTGGTTGAGTGGGTGGATATGTGGGTGGATAGGTGGGTGGATGAGTGAGTGGGTGGGTTCGTGGGTAAGTCAGTGAATGAGTGGGTGAGTGGTTGAGCGGGTGGGTGAGTGGTTGAATGAGTGGGTTAGTGAGTAAGCCAGTGAGTGAGTGATTGGGTATTGCTGTGGGTAGATGAGTGGTTGAGTGAGTGGGTGGGTGATGAGTAGGTGGGTGGGTGGTGAATAGGTGGGTGGTTGAGTTGGTGAGTGGGTGGGTGAGTGGGTGAATGGGTGGGTGAATGGATGGGTGGATATGTGGGTGGATAGGTGGGTGGATATGTGGGTGGATAGGTGGGTGGATGAGTGAGTGGGTGGGTTAGTGGGTAAGTCAGTGAATGAGTGGGTGAGTGGTTGAGGGGGTGGGTGAGTGGTTGAATGAGTGGGTTAGTGGGTAAGCCGGTGAGTGAGTGATTGGGTAAGCCTGTGGGTGGATGAGTGAGTGAGTGGTGGGTGGGTGGGTGGTTGAGTGGGTGGATATGTGGGTGGATAGGTGGGTGGATGAGTGAGTGGGTGGGTTCGTGGGTAAGTCAGTGAATGAGTGGGTGAGTGGTTGAGCGGGTGGGTGAGTGGTTGAATGAGTGGGTTAGTGAGTAAGCCAGTGAGTGAGTGATTGGGTATTGCTGTGGGTAGATGAGTGGTTGAGTGAGTGGGTGGGTGATGAGTAGGTGGGTGGGTGGTGAATAGGTGGGTGGTTGAGTTGGTGAGTGGGTGGGTGAGTGGGTGAATGGGTGGGTGAATGGATGGGTGGATATGTGGGTGGATAGGTGGGTGGATATGTGGGTGGATAGGTGGGTGGATGAGTGAGTGGGTGGGTTAGTGGGTAAGTCAGTGAATGAGTGGGTGAGTGGTTGAGGGGGTGGGTGAGTGGTTGAATGAGTGGGTTAGTGGGTAAGCCAGTGAGTGAGTGATTGGGTAAGCCTGTGGGTGGAAGAGTGGTTGAGTGAGTGGTTGAGTAAGTGGTTGAGTGAGTGAGTGGTGAGTGGGTGGGTAGTTGAGTGGGTGATTGGGTGGGTGGGTGAATGGATGGGTGGATAGGTTGGTGAATGAGTGGGTGGATAGATGGGTGGATGAGTGAGTGGGTGGGTTCGTGGGTAAGTCAGTGAATGAGTGGGTGAGTGGTTGAGCGGGTGGGTGAGTGGTTGAATGAGTGGGTTAGTGGGTAAGCCAGTGAGTGCGTGATTGGGTAAGCCTGTGGGTGGAAGAGTGGTTGAGTGAGTGGTTGAGTGAGTGGGTGATTGGGTGGGTGGTTGAGTGGGTGATTGGGCGGGTGGGTGAATGGATGGGTGAATGGATGGGTGAATGAGTGGGTGAATGGATGTGTGAATGAGTGGGTGGATAGGTGGGTGGATGAGTGAGTGGGTGGGTTCGTGGGTAAGTCAGTGAATGAGTGGGTGAGTGGTTGAGCGGGTGGGTGAGTGGTTGAATGAGTGGGTTAGTGGGTAAGCCAGTGAGTGAGTGATGGGGTAAGCCTGTGGGTGGAAGAGTGGTTGAGTGAGTGGTTGAGTGAGTGAGTGAGTGGGTGATTGGGTGGGTGGTTGAGTGGGTGATTGGGTGGGTGGGTGAATGGGTGGGTGAATGGATGGGTGAATGAGTGGGTGAATGGATGTGTGAATGAGTGGGTGGATAGGTGGGTGGATGAGTGAGTGGGTGGGTTCGTGGGTAAGTCAGTGAATGAGTGGGTGAGTGGTTGAGCGGGTGGGTGAGTGGTTGAATGAGTGGGTTAGTGGGTAAGCCAGTGAGTGAGTGATTGGGTAAGCCTGTGGGTGGAAGAGTGGTTGAGTGAGTGGTTGAGTAAGTGGTTGAGTGAGTGAGTGAGTGGTGAGTGGGTGGGTAGTTGAGTGGGTGATTGGGTGGGTGGGTGAATGGATGGGTGGATAGGTTGGTGAATGAGTGGGTGGATAGGTGGGTGGATGAGTGAGTGGGTGGGTTCGTGGGTAAGTCAGTGAATGAGTGGGTGAGTGGTTGAGCGGGTGGGTGAGTGGTTGAATGAGTGGGTTAGTGGGTAAGCCAGTGAGTGAGTGATTGGGTAAGCCTGTGGGTGGAAGAGTTGTTGAGTGAGTGGGTGGGTGGTGAGTAGGTGGGTGGGTGGTGAGTAGGTGGGTGGATGGTGAATGGGTGGGTGAATGGATGGGTGGTTAGGTTGGTGGATGAATGGGTGGATAGGTGGGTGGATGAGTGAGTGGGTAAGTCAGTGAATGAGTGGGTGAGTGGTTGAGCGGGTGGGTGAGTGGTTGAGTGAGTGGGTTAGTGGGTAAGCCAGTGAGTGCGTGATTGGGTAAGCCTGTGGGTGGAAGAGTGGTTGAGTGAATGGTTGAGTGAGTGGGTGATTGGGTGGGTGGTTGAGTGGGTGATTGGGTGGCTGGGTGAATGGGTGGGTGAATGGATGGGTGAATGAGTGGGTGAATGAATGTGTGAATGAGTGGGTGGATAGGTGGGTGGATGAGTGAGTGGGTGGGTTCGTGGGTAAGTCAGTGAATGAGTGGGTGAGTGGTTGAGCGGGTGGGTGAGTGGTTGAGTGAGTGGGTTAGTGGGTAAGCCAGTGAGTGAGTGATTGGGTAAGCCTGTGGGTGGATGAGTGGTTGACTGAGTGGGTGGGTGGTGAGTAGGTGGGTAGGTGGTGAGTAGGTGGGTGGATGGTGAATGGGTGGGTGAATGGATGGGTGGATAGGTTGGTGAATGAGTGGGTGGATAGGTGGGTGGATGAGTGAGTGGGTGGGTTAGTGGGTAAGTCAGTGAATGAGTGGGTGAGTGGTTGAGGGGGTGGGTGAGTGGTTGAATGAGTGGGTTAGTGGGTAAGCCAGTGAGTGCGTGATTGGGTAAGCCTGTGGGTGGAAGAGTGGTTGAGTGAGTGGTTGAGTGAGTGGGTGATTGGGTGGGTGGTTGAGTGGGTGATTGGGCGGGTGGGTGAATGGATGGGTGAATGGATGGGTGAATGAGTGGGTGAATGGATGTGTGAATGAGTGGGTGGATAGGTGGGTGGATGAGTGAGTGGGTGGGTTCGTGGGTAAGTCAGTGAATGAGTGGGTGAGTGGTTGAGCGGGTGGGTGAGTGGTTGAATGAGTGGGTTAGTGGGTAAGCCAGTGAGTGAGTGATGGGGTAAGCCTGTGGGTGGAAGAGTGGTTGAGTGAGTGGTTGAGTGAGTGGGTGATTGGGTGGGTGGTTGAATGGGTGAATGAGTGGGTGAATGGATGTGTGAATGAGTGGGTGGATAGGTGGGTGAATGAGTGAGTGAGTGCGTGGGGTTTCGTGGGTAAGTCAGTGTGTGGGCCGTGAGTGGGACGCCTAGATGGGTGTTGACGTCCACGGGTGGAGCGTGTGACATCGCCCCCAGACGTTAGCCAATCGGAGGGCTCGGCGGCGGCCCCCCGCGTCGTCTGTGCGTGCACGTGCCAGGCTATGTTCGCCTACTGCTCCTCGCTCTGGCGTGGTGGCGGTTGGACTCCCCTCACCTGTTCGTGGCTCTCTACTCCACCTTCTCAGCTCTGGACTGTGAGTGACCGCCACCATAAACCACTCAACCCGCTACCCCCACCACCACCACCACCACCTCCCCATTGGCCGAGACTCCAACCGTCATGGCCGTGGTCGCTGGCTCACCGTTCGTCTCCCCCCTCCCCCCCCCCCGCCCCACGCGACCCCCTCCTACGATCTCTGCTTAGCGCGGTTGGCTATGTTATGGTGGTACGAAAGAAGTTCAACAATATTTTACATTATGAGACCTCCTTTGCCAGTAACAAGAGATAGGAATAGGTTTTCACCCTTTTTAACTGGCACAAAAAAAACTGACACCTTTATTCAAGGCATCGTGTTTGCAATAACCACAACACAAGCAGTCAAAATGCAAACATAAAGAGACAACTCTGATAATGATGATATTGGCACTGTCCTTGAATTTGATTGGTCCACACCAGAGACGGCTTTTCTTAGAGCCCTTTAGTCTCTCCACTGGTGTTGGACCAGAAGACGCCAAAAGGCGTACAACTCAAAAACAGCGCACCATCAGAGTATTGAGAGCTCGGGATAAGCCTTTACACTATGCGACCTCCTTTGCCAGTAACAAGATATAGTAATAGGTTTTAACCCTTTTAACTGGCACAAAAAACTGAAACCTTTATTCAAGGCATCATGTTTGCAATAACCACAACACAAGCAGTCAAAATGCAAACAAAATAGAGACAACTCTGATAATAATGATATTGGCACTGTCCTTGAATTTGATTGGTCCACACCCGAGATGGCTTTTCTTAGAGCCCCTTTAGTCTCTCCACTGGTGTTGGACCAGAAGACGCCAAAAGGCGTCCAACTCAAAAACAGCGCACTATCAGAGTATTGAGGGCTCGGGGTGAGCATTTACATTATGAGACCTCCGTTAAAAGGGTAAAACCAATTCCTATATCTTGTTACTGGGTTTGCAAAGATCCTTGGCATCGGAGAAAATTATATCGTGATCAACCACAGCATTGTAAAAGTGATCAGCTATGGCAGAATAATTCAACATACACACTGCACGACTATACACTACACTATACACTACACTATACACTACACTATACACTACACTATACACAACACTATACACTGCACTACTATACACTACACTATACACTACACTAATATACACTACACTATACACTACACTATACACTACACTACTATACACTACACTACTATACACTACACTATACACTACACTATACACTACACTACTATACACTACACTATACACTACACTATTTTATATACCACACTATACTATATACCACACTATATACACTGCACTACTATACACTACACTATACACTACACTACTTAAAACTACACTCTATACTACACTATACACTACTATACACTACACTACTATATACTATACTATATACACTGCACTACTATACACTACACTATACTATATACTACACTATATACACTGCACTACTATACACTACACTATACACTACACTACTATGCACTACACTATACACTACACTATACACTACTATACACTATACACTATACTACTATATACTACACAATATACTACACTACACTATACACTACACTATACATTATACTATTCACTACAATACACTACTATATAGTACACTATACACTACTATACACTACACTACTATACACTATACTATACACTACTATACATTATACTGTACACTACACTATACACCCCACTACTATATACTAAACCACGACATATTATACTATACACTTCACTACTACACTATACACTACTATACACCAATCTATAGAATACACGGCTATACTCCATTGAAAACTAATTTCAAACCATTTCCTTGACGGGGAAATACAACAACCACCACCACCACCAACCCCACCACCACCACTCCCACCACCACTCCCACCACCACCACTCCCACCACCACTCCCACCACCACCACTCCCACCACCACCACCACCACCACTCCCACCACCACCACCACCACCATCCCCACCACCACCACCACCACCACCCCCACCACCACCCCCACCACCACCACCATCCCCACCACCACCACCCCCACCACCACTACCACCACCACCACCACTCCCCCCCCACCACCACCCCCACCACCACCACCCCCACCACCCCCACCACCACACCCACCACCACCACCACCACCACTCCCCCCCCACCACCACCACCACCACCACCCCCACCCCCACCACCACCACCACCCCCCCCACCACCACCCCCCCCACCACCACCCCCACCACCACCCCCACCACCACCCCCACCACCACCACCACCACCACCACCCCCACCACCACCACCACCACCACCACCACCACCACCACCACCCCCACCACCACCACCACCACCACCCCCACCACCACCACCCCCACCACCACCACCACCACCACCCCCACCACCACCACCACCACCACCACCACCACCACCACCACCACCACCCCCACCACCACCACCACCACTCCCCCACCACCACCACCACCACCATCCCCACCACCACCACCCCACCACCACCACCACCACTACTCCCCCCCCCCACCACCACCACCACCACCACTCCCACCCCCACCACCACCACCACCCCGGGCGTGTGAAGGGATTGATGGGTGGCTTGCGCGCCGCCTGCGTCAGACCTCCGAATTCGGTGCCTGGCTCGACTTGGCCATCGACAACCTGGGCCGTGGGCTCCTGTGGAGTCACCTGTGGCAGGTGTCGAACCGGGGTTCACTCACCCCCCACCCCCCACCCCCCACCCACTCGCCTACCACCAATCCCTGTCAACCCCATACGGTTTACCCCGTAGTCTTTGTAGGATGAACAGTGAGATTTTATCAAGGGTACGGGGCGACCTATGAGGTCTGATTTGGTCCACGATAAGGTAGGGCACTGATAAGGGCTTGGCAGGTATGGAGACCCACAGAGATACACGGAGACACACAGAGATACACAGAGACACACAGAGATACACAGAGACACAAAGATAGATAGAGGCACACAGAGATACACAGAGATACACGGAGACACACAGATACACGGAGACCCACAGAGATACACAGAGACACACATAGATATACAGAGACACACAGAGATACACAGAGACACACAGAGATGAACAAGAGATACACAGAGACACACATAGATATGCAGAGACACACAGAGATGAACAGAGATACACGGAGACACACAGAGATACATAGAGACACACAGAGACTCACAGAGATACACAGAGACACAGAGATACACAGAGACACACAGAGAAGAACAGAGATACACAGAGATACACGGAGACACACAGAGATGAACAGAGATACACGGAGACACACAGAGATGCACAGAGACACACAGAGACACACAGAGACACACATAGATACACAGAGACACAGAGATACACAGAGACACACAGAGATACATAGAGACACAGACACACACAGAGATACACAGAGACACACAGAGATACACAGACACACACAGAGATACACAGAGACACACAGAGATACACGGAGACACACAGAGATACACAGAGATACACAGAGACACACAGAGATACACAAAGCAACACAGAGACACACAGAGATACACAGAGACACACAGAGACACAGAGATACATAGAGACACAGACACACACAGAGATACACAGAGATACACAGGGACACACAGAGATACATAGAGACACAGACACACACAGAGATACACAGAGATACACAGAGACACACAGAGATGCACAGAGACACACAGAGATACACAGACACACACAGAGATACACAGAGACACACATAGATATGCAGAGACACACAGAGATGAACAGAGACACAGAGATACACAGAGACACACAGAGACACACAGAGATACACAGAGATACACAGAGACACACAGAGATGCACAGAGACACAGAGATGCACAGAGACACAGAGATACACAGAGACACACAGAGATGCACAGAGACACAGAGATGCACAGAGACACAGAGATACACAGAGACACAGAGATACACAGAGACACACAGAGATGCACAGAGACACACAGAGATACACAGACACACACAGAGATATGCAGAGACACACAGAGATGAACAGAGACACAGAGATACACAGAGACACAGAGATACACAGAGACACACAGAGATACGCAGAGACACACAGAGATATGCAGAGACACACAAAGATACACAGAGACACAGAGATACACAGAGACACACAAAGCAACACAGAGACACACAGAGATACATAAAGACACAGACACACACAGAGATACACAGAGACACACAGAGATACACAGAGACACAGAGATACACAGAGACACAGAGATGCACAGAGACACACAAAGATACACAGAGACACAGAGATACACAGAGACACACAAAGCAACACAGAGACACACAGAGATACATAAAGACACAGACACACACAGAGATACACAGAGATACACAGAGACACACAGAGATACACAGAGACACACAGAAATACAGAGACACACAGAGATACACAGAGACACACAGAGATGCACATAGACACACAGAGACACACAGAGACCTCACAGAGACCCCTATAGACCCACAGAGATACATACCTGTCTGCCCATTTGCTTTAACTCGTATTCTTGTACGGGGGAAATTGAGTTGTATGGTACGTGTGGCGTACAGCCGTATCAATACAGGCAAAAAATGTATTGTTTTCTCTATTTGTGTTTCTCCCTTGTGATGGGACTTTGTAGGTGAACGTTGATATGTATAAGGACACGGGGTGACCAAAAAGGTCTGAATTGGTCTGTAATAAGGTAGGCACTGATATGGGTTTGACAGGTATGTAGCAGTGTAGTGTATAGTGTAGTGTATAGTCGTGTAGTGTGTCGGATGAACGTTGAGATTTATAAGGGTGCGGGGTGACCAATAAGGTCTTAATTGGTCTGTAATAAGGTAGGGCACTGATAAGGGGTTACAGGTATAGGACCATCCACACCACACCCACATCCACCCATTAACAAGATCGCTCTCAATGAAAGTTTAAACTAAAACTTCACGCTGGTTTGGGGTGCTTTGGTGGCTAGGCATATGTTCTAACTAAACATTAAACTAATTTTTCAATGGTACGGTATATTTTTTCAAGTAGTGGTACCCCAAACTTTCGCAGCTCTTAAAAATTCCCTTTTCACACCATCAATAGGTAAACTCCCCCTCCCCCGTGCCAAACGGCAAGTCCACTGGCACGTACACCGCCTCTTTTCTAAAATCGGCCAATCAAATGCTAATTTTTTATGCTAATTTCTTCGTCAGAACACCTTGTTTGCTCGCACACAGTTTAAAGGTCCGCGGTCTGAACGTGGTTGTGTTTCGTTAAATTCTCCTGTTTGATTTGTACTAGGTGCCTCGGTGAATGTATATGCTCTGACGTTAACATAGCTATTTCTGTGACCAGTTACAAGCTAATCACGCAGCTATTTCAATGCTAAATTCTATGCTAATTCCTTTGTCAAGGGGTACCTCTGCGGAATGTGTATACTTTAACTTAGCTATTTCAATGAGCCATTTCAATGCTAAATTCTATGCTAATTCCTTTGTCAAGGGGTACCTCTGCGGATGTGTATACTTTAACTTAGCTATTTCAATGAGCCATTTCAATGCTAAATTCTATGCTAATTCCTTTGTCAAGGGGTACCTCTGCGGAATGTGTATACTTTAACTTAGCTATTTCAATGAGCCATTTCAATGCTAAATTCCATGCTAATTCCTTTGTCAAGGCGCTTGGTCTTTTTCTTCTCACACAGCTTAAAGGTCGTGATTTAAGCGTGGCTTCTTCCACTCCAGCGCTGTCCTCCAGACAGTCTCGTCCCTTCACCTGATGAAGGCCGCTTGTGTTGTGACCGAAACGTCGTGAGAATTTTGTTATTTTATTTTCACCTACTACGTGACTTTACCCAATAGAACCAAAGAGTAGGGATATGTTAACTACCTCGCCTGGTATGCCGAAGGGTTTCATGTGTTCGATCCCGGACCCTGACAATGCCTGCTGCTGTATATTTGGAGTTTGCATGACTCTCCACGTGGTCGCGTGGATTTGTCTAGCGGCCTCTGTGTGAGGAGTGTATGGGTGTCTCTGTGGTGAGTCCATAGGTCTCTGTGTAGTGAGTTTACAGGTCTGTGTGTGGTGAGTCTTATAGGTTTCTGTTGCGGTGAGTCTATTGGTCTTCATGTACGTATGTATGTTGAACTTCTTTCGCACCGTACGTAACCAACCGTGCGAATCGGAAGGTGCGGGAAAGTGAGAAGATGAGTGGGTGAGCGAGTGTGTGTGTGTGTGTGCCGTGCCGGCCTTCATAGACGCTGCTGCTACTCGTTACTAACACCAACCCTTGCTCCAACAGCACTCGTGTGTGTGTGTATGTGGGGGGCTACGCAGGAGGCTCTTTGTGTCTTTGCCTATCTTTATAGTTGCGTGAGTGAGCGGATGAGTGGGTGAGTGAGAAGGTGAGTGGGTGAGTAACTGGGTGAGTGAGTGGGTGGAGTGGGTTAGTGAGCAAGTGGCTGAGTGAGTGAGAAGATGAGTGGGTGACTGAATGGGTTAGTTCGTGATTGAGTGAGAAGATGAGTGGGTGACTGGGCTTGTGAGCGATTGGCTGAAGGAGTGAGAAAATGAGTGGGTGAGTGAGCGAGTGGGTGAGTGAGTGAGTGAGCGAGTGGCCGAGTGAGAAGATGAGTGGGTGAGTGAACCTGAGGCTGAGTGAGTGAGCGAGTGGCCAAGTGAGTGAGAAGATGAGTGGGTGAGTGAGCGAGTGGGTGAGTGAGTGAGCGAGTGGCCGAGTGAGTCAGAAGATGAGTGGTTGAGTGAGCGAGTGGGTGAGTGAGTGAGCGAGTGGCCAAGTGAGTGAGAAGATGAGTGGGTGAGTGAGCGAGTGGGTGAGTGAGTGAGTGGCCGAGTGAGTTTAGAAGATGAGTGGGTGAGTGAGCGAGTGGGTGAGTGAGTGAGCGAGTGGCCGAGTGAGTCAGAAGATGAGTGGGTGAGTGAGCGAGTGGGTGAGTGAGTGAGCAAGTGGCCAAGTGAGTCAGAAGATGAGTGGGTGAGTCAACGTGTGGCTGAGTGAGTGAGCGAGTGGCCGAGTGAGTTTAGAAGATGAGTGGGTAAGTGAACGTGTAGCTGAGTGAGTGAGCAAGTGGCCAAGTGAGTGAGAAGATGAGTGGGTGAGTGAGCGAGTGGGTGAGTGATTGAGCGAGTGGCCGAGTGAGTCAGAAGATGAGTGGTTGAGTGAGCGAGTGGGTGAGTGAGTGAGTGGCCGAGTGAGTGAGACGACGAGTGGGTAAGTGAACGTGTAGCTGAGTGAGTGAGCAAGTGGCCAAGTGAGTGAGAAGATGAGTGGGTGAGTGAGCGAGTGGGTGAGTGATTCAGAAGATGAGTGGTTGAGTGAGCAAGTGGGTGAATGAGTGAGTGGCCGAGTGAGTGAGAAGATGAGTGGGTAAGTGAACGTGTAGCTGAGTGAATAAGCAAGTGGCCAAGTGAGTGAGAAGATGAGTGGGTGAGTGAGCGAGTGGCTGAGTGAGTGAGCGAGTGGCCGAGTGAGTCAGAAGATGAGTGGTTGAGTGAGCGAGTGGGTGAGTGAGTGAGCGAGCGAGTGGCCGAGTGAGTGAGAAGATGAGTAGGTAAGTGAACGTGTAGCTGAGTTAGTGAGCAAGTGGCCAAGTGAGTGAGAAGATGAGTGGGTGAGTGAGCGAGTGGCCTAGTGAGTGAGAAGATAAGTGGGTCAGTGAGCGAGTGGGTGAGTGAGTGAGTGAGTGGCCGAGTGAGTGAGAAGATAAGTGGGTCAGTGAGCGAGTGGGTGAGTGAGTGAGCAAGTGGCCAAGTGAGTTAGAAGATGAGTGGGTGAGTGAGCGAGTGGGTGAGTGAGTGAGCGAGTGGCCGAGTGAGTGAGAAGATGAGTGGGTGAGTGAGCGAGTGGGTGAGTGAGTGAGCGAGTGGCCGAGTGAGTGAGAAGATGAGTGGTTGAGTGAGCGAGTGGGTGAGTGAGTGTGAAGATAAGTGGGTGAGTGAGCGAGTGGCTGAGTGAGTGAGCGAGTGGCCGAGTGAGTGAGAAGATGAGTGGGTGAGTGAGCGAGTGGGTGAGTGAGTGAGTGAGCAAGTGGCCAAGTGAGTCAGAAGATGAGTGGGTGAGTGAACGTGTGGCTGAGTGAGTGAGCGAGTGGCCGAGTGAGTTTAGAAGATGAGTGGGTGAGTGAGGGAGTGGCTGAGTGAGCAAGTGGCCAAGTGAGTCAGAAGATGCGTGGGTGAGTGAGCAAGTGGCTGAGTGAGTGAGCGAGTGGCCAAGTGAGTCAGAAGATGAGTGGGTGAGTGAGCGAGTGGGTGAGTGAGTGAGCGAGCGAGTGGCCGAGTGAGTGAGAAGATGAGTAGGTAAGTGAACGTGTAGCTGAGTTAGTGAGCAAGTGGCCAAGTGAGTGAGAAGATGAGTGGGTGAGTGAGCGAGTGGCCTAGTGTGTGAGAAGATAAGTGGGTCAGTGAGCGAGTGGGTGAGTGAGTGAGCGAGTGGCCGAGTGAGTGAGAAGATGAGTGGGTGAGTGAACGTGTGGCTGAGTGAGTGAGCGAGTGGCCGAGTGAGTGAGAAGATGAGTGGGTGAGTGAGCGAGTGGGTGAGTGAGTGGCCGAGTGAGTGAGAAGATGAGTGGTTGAGTGAGGGAGTGGGTGAGTGAGTGGCCGAGTGAGTCAGAAGATGAGTGGGTGAGTGAGCGAGTGGGTGAGTGAGTGGCCGAGTGAGTGAGAAGATGAGTGGGTGAGTGAGCGAGTGGGTGAGTGAGTGAGCGAGTGGCCGAGTGAGTGAGAAGATGAGTGATTGAGTGAGCGAGTGGGTGAGTGAGTGAGTGGCCAAGTGAGTGAGAAGATGAGTGGTTGAGTGAGCGAGTGGGTGAGTGAGTGAGTGAGTGGCCGAGTGAGTCAGAAGATGAGTGGTTGAGTGAGCGAGTGGGTGAGTGAGTGAGTGGCCGAGTGAGTGTGAAGATAAGTGGGTGAGTGAGCGAGTGAGTGAGCGAGTGGGTGAGTGAGTGAGTGGCCGAGTGAGTGAGAAGACGAGTGGGTGAGTGAGTGAGCAAGTGAGAGAGTGAGTGGCCGAGTGAGTGAGAAGATGAGTGGTTGAGTGAGCGAGTGGGTGAGTGAGTGGCCGAATGAGTGTGAAGATGAGTGGTTGAGTGAGCGAGTGGCTGAGTGAGCGAGTGGGAGAGAGAGTAGCCAAGTGTGTGTGAATGTGTCGTACCGGCATTCCATAGGCGCTGCTTCTAACCAATCGCTCCGACTAACAGCACTTTCCCCAACAGCACCGTTTTTCGAATGCTACACCGGGGAGAACGTTGTGTGTGTGTATGTAACAGCACTTGCCCCAACAGTCTATTAAGGCTACACTGGGGGGGGGGGGGGGGGGGCGCGCGGGGGGTGGAGGGGGGTGGCGAATCTCTGCCTTCTCTGTTCTTTTTAAATTTCGATTTAAAGCTTTCGTGACTGCAATGATTCATCTTCTTTGGTTCTTTCGGTAAAGTCACGTCCTGCCAGACAGTCTCGCTCCCTTCACCTGATGAAGGCCGCTTGTGTTGTGGCCGAAACGTCGTGAGAATATTATTGTGTTATTTTATTTTATCAATTTATTATTCTCTGTTCTTCTTCGTCGTCGACGCAGGGCTGTGGCTACCTGCTCTCCGCGCTCGAGTGGACCGTCTTCGTTTGCAATCACCGATCGCTGGGAGCCGACTGGAAGGAGAACTTCGACGGAGCACCGCGCTGGGTTCAAGCCGTCATGGCCAACGGTGTTGTGCGGGAGGAGGGGAATTGAAAAAAAATTCAACACGAGCGTCGGAACCGTCGGGAATGTTCGCCCATACCGGAGGGGGAATCCGTTGAGCTGTAGAGTTTCATCATGGGAGCCTCCCTGGCCAGCATCAAAGTATAAGGAACAGGTTCATATTCTTGGTTCTTTCAGTAAAGTCACAATAAAATAATAAAAAAATATATAAAACAATAAAATTCTCACGACGTTTCGACTGCAACACAAAGCAGCAATCATCATCATCAGGTGTGAAAACCACAGCAACAATAAAATAATATTAATATAAAACAATAAAATAATATAAATATAAAACAATAAAATAATAAAAATATAGAACAATAAAATTCTCACGACGTTTCGACTGCAACACCAAGCAGCAATCATCATCAGGTGTGAAAACCACAGCAGGAATTATTTTTTTTTTTCAAATTTTTCTTGCTGTGGTTTTCACACCTGATGATGATTGCTTGTGTTGTGTTGCAGTCGAAACGTCGTGAGAATTTTATTGTTTTATATTTTTTTATAATTTTATTGTTTCCCTATCTACGTGGTGGTGACTTTACCGAAAGAACCAAGAATATGAATCCCTGCAGTCACGAAAGCTTTAAATAATAAAAATTGAACGGGTTTTTTTACCCTTTCTGGCAATGAAATAAACAGGAGGTCGTGTTAAGATGTTGAAACACCAAACTGAAACCTTTTGCAAGGAATAATGTCACTGCATTAAACACACATACCTCGTGGTGAAAATTTTGCAAAACACAACCAAAAAAACACGTACTCTGGTAGTATATGATGCATTGTCTTTGAAAATGATTGGTCCCATACCAGAGGCGCATTTCTTTAGAGCTTGGTCTCAAACAGTGTTAGACATCCGGTCTAGAGCATGTTTTATTGTGTGTGCACGTTCACCACAAGTGTATGTAGTTAATGCAGACACGATTCCTTGAAAAAGCATTCAGTTTGGTGTTTTTTTTTTATTTTTACATTATAACACAACCCCTGTTTTATTGCCAGAAAGGGTAAAACCTCTTCTTGTGTTTTGATACTGGCAAGGCAGATCCCATGTTGTAGCTGCTCACTCCGAGCTCTCAATGTCCTGATAGTGGCGTTGTCTTGGTGCTGTTCGCCTTTTGGCGTCCTCTGGTCCAACGCTGTTTTGAGACGAGGCTCTAAAAGAAATCTGTCTCTGGTGTGGACCAATCAGTTTCAAAGACAATGCATCATACACTATCAGAGCATGTTTTTTTTATTTGCTTGCATGTTCACCACAATTATGCGTGGTTTAAGCGAATAGATTAGTGCGTGGGGAGATGAATGGGTGAATGAGTGCGTATGTGAGTGCATGGCATGAGTGAGAAGCTGAGCGGATGAGTGAGTGAGTTACTGAGACTATGAATGGGTGTGTGTGTGAGTGAATGAGAAGATGAATGGGTGAGTGAGTTGGATGAGTGAGTGGGTAAGTAGCGACGTGGCGCCGGCCACCAACCCACCCACAGTGAAGTCCGTCGTAGGAGCTCCGCTTTAAAAAAAAAATATAGATATAGTTCTCACAAACAGCACTTGCCCCAACAGTCTGTTAAGGCTGCATGCATTTGTGTGCGTAGGGTTGGTTCTGCACGCCGGTGGGATTGCTCGCCGTCATGGGTCTGGACGCCTTACTCCTGTGGCTCTACGTGAGCCAGAACCGAGAGCCACTGGGTCTCGCTCCCTTCACACTGCTCACAGCTGGCACGGCACTGCTGATGAGCGGGCGCGCGATGTGCCTGGGCGTGGAGGTGTGGACACGCACGCACACACACGCACACACGCACACACGTTCACGCACGTTCACGCGCGCGTGCACGCACGTTCAAAGACAAAGATCCCCCTGTATATAGCCTGAAACAGACTTGGGGCAAGTAGTGGCGAGCAGCATCCTTTGAAAGCACACACAACAACGACCGCCATTCGCCACTAGGTGGCAGTAATGTCACCACGGCGCTTGTGCCAGGCTATAAGCGTCGAACGCCCGCTGGCAGGAGGTCACGGGACAGATCCCCCAGGTGCCATGGGTTGACTGATTGAGATGACCGGCTGATGCGCCACCTGTGCCCCCTACTGTGTCAACCTGCTGTGCTTTAGCCACCCGGCGCTCCGCTCGTTGTTGTGAGCGTCGCTCCTCCGCCCTCCGTTGTTGCTGGAGGGCGACTGCCTCCAACTGCCCAGTAGCATCCTTCACGAGCCTCCTCCACAGAGGCCGATCTTGACACCGCTGGTTCCAGTTATTGGCAAGTCCACTCAGCTCCACGTCCTCCTGTACCACACCACTCCATCTCTTCTCTATCCGCCCCCACTCTCCCCCCCCCCCACCCTCCGCGTAGGCCGTGTATTAACCCAAGACAAGTTCCGGGCAAAGCCGGGTAGTCAAGCTAGTATTACAATAAAAAATAAAAAAATATTACTCATTAAACCAGGTGTAATGCCCCATTGACCTGCTGTGTAACTCGTTTGTTTCCAAAGCCATGACCTGGCCATCGCAACGAGATAGCAGCTCAACTCAAGTGGCTGATATCATCCTCGTCGTCATCGTCGAGTGGACATTTAAAGCGGCAGCCAAGTTACTCTAAACGAGTGTTTCTACAGTCATAGAGGCCCACAGAGACCCATACTCACAGAGACCCATACTCACAGAGGCCCACAGAGATCCAGCCACCCATGCAGAACCACAGAGACCCACAGTAACCCACAGAGACCCATACTCACAGAGACCCATACTCACAGAGACCCATACTCACAGAGACCTACGGAGATCCAGACACCCATACAGAACCACAGAGACCCACAGTAACCCACAGAGACCCATACTCACAGAGATCCACAGAGATCCAGACACCCATACAGAACCACAGAGACCCACAGTAACCCACAGAGACCCATACAGAGACCCATGCTCACAGAGACCCATACTCACAGAGACCCATACTCACAGAGACCCACGGAGATCCAGACACCCATACAGAACCACAGAGACCCACAGAAACCCACAGAGACCCATACAGAGACCCATACTCACAGAGACCCACAGAGATCCAGACACCCATACAGAACCACAGAGACCCACAGAAACCCACAGAGACCCACAGTAACCCACAGAGACCCATACTCACAGAGACCCACAGAGATCCAGACACACATACAGAACCACAGAGACCCACAGTAACCCACAGAGACCCATACTCACAGAGACCCACAGAGATCCAGACACACATACAGAACCACAGAGACCCACAGTAACCCACAGAGACCCATACTCACAGAGACCCATACTCATAGAGACCCACAGAGATTCAGACACACATACAGAACCACAAAGACCCACAGTAACCCACAGAGACCCATACAGAGACCCATACTCACAGAGACCCATACTCACAGAGACCCATACTCACAGAGACCCATAGAGATCCAGACACGCATGTAGAACCACAGAGACCCACAGAAACCCACAGAGACCCATGCTCACAGAGGCCCACAGATATCCAGACTCCCATACAGAACCACAGAGACCCACAGTAACCCACAGAGACCCATACAGAGACCCACAGAGATCCAGACTCCCATACAGAACCATAGAGACCCACAGGAACCCACAGAGACCCATACAGAGACCCATACTCATAGAGACCCACAGAGATCCAGACACCCATACAGAACCACAGAGACCCACAGTAACCCACAAAGACCCATACAGAGACCCATACAGAGACCCACAGAGATCCAGACACCCATACAGAACCACAGAGACCCACAGTAACCCACAGAGACCCATACTCACAGAGACCCATACTCACAGAGACCCATACTCATAGAGACTCACAGAGATCCAGACACCCATGCAGAACCACAGAGACCCACAGTAACCCACATAAACCCACAGAGACCCATACTCATAGAGACCCACAGAGATCCAGACACCCATGCAGAACCACAGAGACCCACAGGAACCCACAGAGACCAATGCTATCGAGACCCATACTAAAACTAACCTGTGCTCATTGTACCAGTTGTAAGGCCCCCACTGAGCTTCTGTGTAGCTCTTTGTCAGAAGCCGTAACCTGGCCATCACAACAAGATAGCCAAGTGGCTGATATCATCATCATCATCATTCAGAGTCTCCTGTAGATCCACAGACTCCTATAGACCCACAGAGACCTACAAAGACCCATATAGAGACCCGTACTCATAGACTAAACTATGTTGATGTTACCGGCTGTAAGGCCACACTGAGTGACCTGACCATCATAACTTGATAACAGCTCAATCAAGTGGCTGATATCGTCATCATCATTACTTGGGAATGTATAGCAGCAGCCAAATATTCTAAACGCGTGTTTCTGCAGACTCATAGAGACCCACAGAGACCCACAGAGACTCATACTCAGAGAGACCCACAGAGACCCAGACTCATAGAGACCCACAGAGACCCATACTCAGAGAGACCCACAGAGACCCAGACTCATAGAGACCCACAGAGACCCATACTCATAGAGACCCACAGAGACCCATACTCATAAAGACCCACAGAGACCCAGACTCATAGAGACCCACAGAGACACGTACTTATTGAGATCCACAGAGACATACTCATAGAGACCCACAGAGACACATACTCATAGAGACCCACAGAGACCCATACTCATAGAGACCCACAGAGACCCATACTCATAGAGACCCACAGAGACCCATACTCATAGAGACCCACAGAGACCCATACTCATAAATACCCGCAGAGACCCAGACTCATAGAGACCCACAGAGACACGTACTCATAGAGACCCACAGAGACCCAGACTCATAGAGACCCACAGAGACACATACTCATAGAAACCCACAGAGACCCATACTCATAGAGACCCACAGAGACACATACTCATAGAGACCCACAGAGACCCATACTCATAGAGACCCACAGAGACCCAGACTCATAGAGACGCACAGAGACCCAGACTCATAGAGACACACAGAGACCCATACTCATAGAGACCGACAGAGACACATACTCATAGAGACACACAGAGACCATACTCATAAAGACCCACACAGTCCCATACTCATAGAGACCCACAGAGACCCAGACTCATAAAGACCCATACTCATAGAGACCTACAGAGACCCATACTCATAGAGACCCACAGAGACCCAGATTCATAGAGACCCACAGAGACCCATACTCATAGAGACCCACAGAGACCCATACTCATAGAGACCCACAGAGACACATACTCATAGAGACCCACAGAGACCCATACTCATAGAGACCCACAGAGACCCAGACTCATAGAGACGCACAGAGACCCAGACTCATAAAGATCCATACTCATAGAGATCCACAGAGACCCATACTCATAGAGACCCACAGAGACCCAGATTCATAGAGACCCACAGAGACACATACTCATAGAGACCCACAGAGACCCAGACTCTTAGAGACCCACAGAGACCCAGACTCATAAAGACCCATACTCATAGAAACCCACAGAGACCCAGACTCATGGTTAAATCAATGCGTTAATCAATCATCACTGTATGGTGGGTAAGCGAATACATTGGGCACGATGGAGGCACGTGATTAAGCGATTAGTCGTTACCAGGGATAGTCATTAAGAGGGGTTCTACTCTACACTATACACTACATTATTACACACTACACTACTACATACTACACTACTACACACCACTACTACACACAACATTACTAAACACCACTACTACACTATACATTACACTATTACACACTACACTCCTACATACTACACTACTACACACCACTACTACACACAACACTACTACACACCACTACTACACACTACTACTACTACACACAACAGTACTACACACCACTACTACACACAGCACTACTACACACCACTACTACACTATACACTACACTATTACACACTACACTACTACATACTACACTACTACACCCCACTACTACACACAGCACTACTACACACCACTACTACACTATACACTACACTATTACACACTACACTCCTACACGCCACTACTACACACTACTGCTACACACAACACTACTACACACCACTACTACACACTACTACTACACACAACAGTACTACACACCACTACTACACACAACACTACTACACTACTACACACCACTACTACACACCACTACTACACACTACACTACACTATACACTACACTACTGTACACTACTATACACTACAATACTATACACTAACACACCACTACTACACTATACACTACACTATTACACACTACACTCCTACACACCACTACTACACACTACTACTACACACAACACTACTACACTACTACACACCACTCCTCAACACCACGACTACACACTACACTATACACTACACTACTGTACACTACTATACACTATACACTACACGACTACACACTACACTACTACACACTACACATTGGGCTCTATGGAGGCCCGTCGTTAAGCGATTAGTCGTTAAACTGGGTGGTTCTGCTGTATAGCTGTAGCCAAACACCCTTAAAAGCGTGGAGATGTTAATTCTACGCACGGAGGTTAAACAAATATACCAGATGACTCCGAGGCCACCGTTGGGAGAGACAGAACGAGCGAGAGACACGCCGACTCCACATAAACAGGAGCAGGCGACGCCGTCCCAATATTCTGAACGACCCAAAACCATCAACGACGCTACGACAGACCCCACCCCCCCTCTCCCCTAGCTCAACTCGAAACTCGGATTTCAACTTAAATCAATC